GTGGTAAAGTCAAATGTCATAAAGTCAAGTGTTCGTAAAGTCAAGTGTACTTGACCCCATGTATTCTCTATGTATTTTCTCTGCGGGGCTCCGCACGGAAGAACCCTTCGCGATGCTTTCGGGAAAAAAAAATAGCCCAGCACAGTGTCGTAGGAGCGGCTTGCCCAAACCTAGCCTGAAGGCCCAAATGAGGGGTGCGTGTGCTCATTGCCACAACCCCATAATTCCTGCAAGCAGAACTATGAATAATCTGGAATCCAGAGTCTGGATTTACAAATCTGTTCTAGCTACAGACTCTAATTTCTTACTTGATAAAGTTTGCTATTGCAGCACTACACCGTAGATGGACTTTCGAGCTGATCCGGAGCGCTTCGTATGCAGCGGTGCTTCCAGTGGGTTCACGCGGTCACGCAGCCCATGACGTGAACAGCAAAGCAGCGGTCCGCTTTGCCATCTTGGTCAGCCCAGACAATCCAGAGTTTAAGGCCGGGGTTCAGGTGTCACGGCGATTCGTGCCGTTATCACAGGCAACATGGACACAAAATGTGGATACTGGCCGATCCCTGGAATTGACCCGACCATATGTGTCCAGGTTTGGACCGCATGTACACTCAGTGGTGCCTCACTGGTGGGGACTTCGACGAGAGCCGGGTCACCATCAGCTTTGCTGGTGACTCGGGCGAGGCGGTGGGCGCCCGCGTGTGGCAGCCCACCCGCGAGGGATCTCCTCGTCGGCTTAGAGGCATGTGAGTTGCGCAAACACGGCTGACGCGGTCGGCGTGGGCCACCTTACCCGGCCGACGTCGCGCCAGCATCAGCATCATGATTGGCTTGCAAACAACCTGAATACCATGCCCACGTTTTCGGCTTGTAGGACAGAGCCTCCCGACACGGCGGCGGCCACGTCTTCATCCAGCCCATCAACAGGGCGTCAGTACAAAGAAGTACTGGCACCGAAGGGGCTTCCGACCCGTGTGGGGAGCCATCAAGTCGCTGGTGGTTGCTGGCGGGAGACGCGCTTTGGCACAAACTTTTGCAGCCCGCGCTGAGGTAAGAGCTGCGTGGCAGGAGCATCGGCCCAAACTGCGATGAAGAATCGGAACCAAAGTCAGGCGCAGGACGGCTGTTTTAGTGATGCATGAGTAACATGACATCCCAGTCGGAAATATTTCTTGACTAGGAACAAAGAAGTTATGTCAGTGAATAAGATACCTCTAGTTTGATTTTTTCATGACCGGATCAAAGACCCTAGTTGAGATGTTGTAAATTTCGGAGCTGAACGACTATAATGAATCCACTTATGATGCCTCAAGTTCTTTCTCTTCCCGAACAAGACAAGAATCTAATTGGGATATCGCAAGTTTTCTATGCTTATAGAATGTGTCCGTTCAGAAGAACTCAAATTTCGGATTTCCGAGCTATACGACCGGTGAATTTATGTTTGTTTTTGTGTAGGGAAAGCTGTGTTTTTATGTTTTCGTGGTCTCGAAGTCGAATGGAATCCCGAAGTTTTCTTCCTCCCGGATAGAACATCATAAGCTTCAGCGCTATACGACCAACACAGCCGGTTGAAATACTTGAACTGTCCCAATCGAATGGCCAAGGACCCTTTCGGGCGTCTCAAGTAGTAGACCTAGTCTCATTTGATAGTCCCTCCCCACACCCGAAAACTCTGCCCCTATGTTATGGTTTTTATGGGGTCCTGCCGCGAGATGCAGGACGGAACTCACCTCAGCAAGATCTTTTCGGGCGGTGTGGGTGGAGCGGCGCTTCTCGTTGCAGGCGAGGTCAGAGTTCAGAGATGTGTCAGAAAGTCCTGGAGTCCCGGAGAATTGTCAACCCTAAGCCCTAGAGTGTGGAACGCCCTCCGACCCCCTTATTTACGGTGCTTTTGGCTTGCTGAAACCCGAAGCCCCGGATGAAAAACTGTAGTCCAATATTTTTCAAGCCTTGTCAAGCGAAGCCCTCGTAAGTCCAAATTCCCCACAGTAGGGTCTGTTCTTGAGATGGATTTTGCATTTGATCTTGGAGTTTGTCGGGGTGTCAGGGTTTAAACATTCGGGGTTTGTACGGTCCGAAAGCAAGCCAGTGTCGTGTGTTTGTGTGTAAATTCATGAGTGAATCAACACATTTGTAGATATATGCATATATATATATATATAACAGACATACACATATTCACACACAAAATGATGTGAATCTGTCATTAGGGTCCGAAAAACAAGTAGTTGAATGTAGGGTTTTAGGTTCAGCATCTGATTGGTTTTCCACAGAATCAAGGGAAAAACGTCAGGTTCCCCGAAGCTGTAAAATTCTACAGTGCCCAAGCCGACAAATTCATATGCGGAGCCCTGCTTCAAGATCTAGAATGTATACCGCTCTGTTCTTAAGTCCGCTTGAATTTCGGTATGGGGGTTGCTGTTCTGATCCCGGTTGAGTTGCAACAGGCGTCCGCCATTACGCAACAGTCGATGCCAGGAATCGAAATGTCCTGCCTGAAAGCCAGAAAGCTCACACCCCGAGGTTTTTTCACCTGAAACTCTGAGCCTTGCCCTGTGCAGGGGTTCCTCAAACACGGAAGACTTTCTTTCAAGCCGCATGTCGCCGCACGAAACATGAGGATCCCGGTGTTTAGGGTCTGTATTAAAGTATCTCATTTCGCGCAACTCACTTTTGGGTTCAATCAAGGTCTGCAGCCCCGAAGCGTGAAGGACTCAGTGCTCACTGGGGGAAAGATCGTTGGCTCCTATCAGTCGCGTAGGGTCCGCCATAGGTTTAGGGCTTCAAGTTGCCTGTAGAGGTGGGGTTTCTTTCCCCGCTAGCTGGGACGTCGGGGTGAGGATTCAGGATTATTTCAAGGTTTGCAGGCTTTCAAGGTTGCCAACAATGGGATCTCGTGTCGATGCTTACCGAAGCTTATTTATACCTGGATGGGTTTGGAATCTGGATGAACGGCGGCTTAGGACAAGCATTACATTTCCCTTTCATGGCGCTTTCTAAGTAAAGCGCCACGCCCAGCACCTCACTCAAAAACACGAGGAGACTTTACTTGGGCCTTGCGGGCTTTGCGGTTTGGGGTTCACAGGCTCTTTCCAGGGCTCGGCAGGTTTCAAACTTCAGGACTGAAGAGTTTGGGGGACCCGTCAAATCCGGGCAAGCTCGGCATCTTGGAACCCTTGACCTTTAATCCTGTACACCACAAGATCCTAAATATGAAGCGCGACACCCCGAAGCACAAAAAATAGATCCTGAAAAAAACACAGCCCTGAAAATTGAAGGACCCTTCAAAGAGCACTCAGGTGGTGGGCGAGGATGGAGAGCTGATGACTTTGCTCACTAGGAGCCTCAAAAGTATTTATTGTTTGTGGGGGTTTTAGTGTTTTCCACAGAACTTCACAGGTTTGTCAAGGTTGCGAATACGCCGTTTAGCATTTCTGAAGGTTTCCAGGTTTCCGGGCGTTCAGCTTTGCCCGCGCTTATTCTTCAACCGGGTTTGGATTCGGGGCTGCACGGGGCCCTAGGGGGTCATCGCGATGTTTAAGGCGGAGAGGTTCAGGGTTTCGAAAATCAAAAATTATTGCGCCCGAAATCCTAAACCTCTGAGCCAGCCCTAAACCGATGAAGGCCCTTACCAACTCCATGAGGCTTCTTCCTACACTCTTCAACGGACTTCTTGTCTGGGCTAGCTAGGTTTAGGGGTTTAGGGTTTAGGGTTTAGGGTGAAAATACCAGGTACCCAACAAAAGGGGCCACGATGGAGGCAAAAGCTTCGAAGAATTCAGTTCGGGGGTGGTGCTTCGAAGAATTCAGTTCGGGGGTGGTTAGTCGCAGAGCAGGTAACCTTTGACCCCCGACGTGCTTTAACCTTTTTTCTGCTTTTCGCTGAGGGCCGCACTCATGACACACTAAACTTCCTGAGATGCCACAATCCCTACGTAACCCCAAACGCCCGTAGGGTTTAGGGTTTAGGGCCTATCCATAGGCCCCGTCGTAGTTCCCCTTTTTGGGATTACCTTATAGGATTCTATAATTCTATATATGAACCCCAAAAAGGAACTACTCTCTCGGGCCTATGGCCTAAGCCCTGTGAGGATTTTCGAGCTGGGCATCCTGATGATTGCACTCGGCACCTGGCTTGGATTCCAGCGCCTGCTTGGAGGATCATGGAGACTTAGTAAGTATAGTTACCCTAGGGTTTGCAAGTCCACGGCCGGAGGTAGCT